CTAAAGTTTATTTTAAATTTTTTAATTTTAAGTTCATATTGTATATTATAAGCAAATTTGTATTGCCTTATTGCAAAGGCTTTAGTTTTTCTTGGAGTACATTGTAACCAATGTAGGTCTGGATAATATTCAATATAGCTATCATTTAAACATTCATGAACTTGTGTATGGTTAAATTTTCCATAAAAATATAATTCTACTATTTTGTTATAAGTCCATTGAGTTCCATCAAACCACTTGTTAAGCATTTTAGATTCAAATTTTGTAGGATAGATCTGAATTTTCAGAGTTTTTAATTTATTTTCCTTCCCAGTTATTGGTTTATAATCTTTATTATTTGGTTCAAATACAAAATATTTTTTATTTAAATTTTTATTGGACTTGTAAAGAAATAATGTAAACCAAGTATTTTCAATTAACTTTTCAGTATCTTTAATGTTTTTGTTTGTGGATAACCAAAGCATTTTTATAAGCTGTCAAGTCTTTTCATTTCACTTTCATAGATTATTTTTCTGTTTTTGAGATTTATTATTTTTATTTTCTCATTTTTATTTTGACATTTTTGAAGATCTGAACTTCTATATATCTATACTTATTAACATTTGAAAATGTGATGTAACATAATCCAAAACAGATTATAAAATTCAGATCTTTAAACATTAGTACATAATTAGTTAAAACTAAGTAAAAAAACATAAATAATAAAATTTAGCAATAAGTAATAATATATAATATATGTATAATATTGTAAAATTTATATACTGTTTTCTAGAAGATGCAGATAACTATATCATGAAGAATTCACAATATTTTTTAGATTTCTAATTTTTAAGATGCACTTTAATCAGATTTTTAATTTTTACTAAGCAAAACTTTCTTATTTTTCGATTCTCCACATAGATATATGAAAATCATTTTCTTGAAATAGTTGTAAATCAAGCCAGAATTAAAGTTAAAGTTAGGAGTTAGCATTAAAATAGCAAATTTTATGAAAATAGCAAATTATCATATAGTAAAATAGCATTTGTTCTTTAAAATACTTTTATATATATAGTAGTTGATATGATTTGTAGCTTAAATATTGCTATATTTTTTTAAAATATCAAATACTAGTAACTACAATAAATAGCCTATTTTTATAAATTTTTGCTAGCCCGGCCTACTTTATGGCTATTCTTGAACTAAATTAATAAGTTTCTAAATTTGGTCTAAATTAGTTTTAACTTGATTATCAGAAAATTTTTCAGTTGTTTTATATAAAATTTATGAAAACAGCTATAATTAAAATAGAGCCAACTCAGCCTACAAATATATTTTTTTAATTAAGCAATTCACATAAGGACAAAAAATTTTATAGCTATTTTTATAATTTTTAGAATACTTGTTTATTATCTAAAATTTTTTTAATTATTTAGTAAATTATTCAAATCTTCAGAAACTACATCACTATCTTCAGACCTTCAGTTCAAAGGCAATAATATAATTTACAAAGAGTTAAATAATATGCCAAATGACCAAAAAGATTTCAGGTAATAAGCAGATATTCCAGAAATTATAAAAATAGCTGTAATTATAAAAGTTAGAAATAAGTATCTATATTAATATAGTTTTAATAGTAATATAAAATCTAAATTTTTTTTTTTTTTTTTTTTTGCGTTGTACGGGTACTTCTTGCGCGGGGTCTTTTTATTTGCTTCTTAAGAAC